AAATAAGTAAATATTTTAAAAATCTATACCACTGATGGTATTTTTAATCATTCTCCAACCCAGGTGCCTTGGTCAAAGCATAAGTCATTGAGTTTCCAAATTTGGTTTTTAACCTAGTGGTCTTCAAATTTTCTTACAAATTTCAATTGTCTAACCATAAATGTAATCTTAATCATGGATTTCATCATTTCCCATCTCCCACACTCATCATCCTTACTTGCAGTAAAATCCTCAGCTCTAATATATATTACTATCCGTACATACATATATTTGGTGAATGATTGTATTATATCCATCATTTCTCAATGATTCACATGTAAAGTTAGTACATAGTTTTTAGGCTTTAAATGTGCATTTGACGTTCTACTTATACCAGACCTACGTATAAAATATCCATCCAACTGATAATTTGGCTTGAGTTTCCAACAAGCAACAAAGCAGCTCATTCAGGCTTGTGTTTAGGTAGTGGATAGATATCAGGAACCCTATTATTTTTTTTATCCTCACCCGAGGACATTTTTCCATTTTTTGTTCAGATACAGTGGGAGGGGGAGAGAGAAAGAGAGAAACATCGATGTGAAAAGAACACATAGAGTGGTTGCCACTCGCACGACCCAACCAGGGCCAGGGACAAACTGCAACCGAGGTATGTGCCCTTAGCAGGAACCAAACCTGGGTCTCTCTGGACCGCAGGCCGACACTCTAACCACTGAACCAAATCAGCCAGGGCAGGAACCCTATTATTTACCTAGTGCATTTGTATTAAATTACCTTACACAGGCAGGAAGAATATTCCAAACATAAATTACAAGGCATTACTACCAGGTCATGTACTCTAAGGGTTTTCTGGGAAGAAAGGACATCCACTTCCTTTCCAACATTTTGTAGTGACTAATCAGCATACCATAGAATGGGCTCTTCAATTTCTAATATCAATAAATTACATCTGCATTAAGACCTCTATATCTGAAGCACTTTTCCATGTGTTACCACAATAATCCTTTATGATACAATGAAAACATAATAGCCTCCATTTTATTGATGGAGAAAAAGAATAGACAAATTATTAGCTCAAAATCATACAGCTAATTAACTGTGCAACCATTTGGTTAGGTAACAGCTCTTTACTTCAGAGCTGTTAGCCCTTAACTGCATACTCTTATGCAGAAATCTTACTGCATACTAAGCAATATGCTAGGTGAGAGAAAGGCAGAGGCAAAAACTAACACTAATAATAGCAGGAAGAAATGGTTTAAAAAAAACAGCCTGGCCAGTGTGCCTCAGTGGATAGAGCGCTGTCCCGTGGACTGAGAGGTCCCGGATCAATTCCCGGGTTGCGGGCTCGATTTCCCAGTAGGAGGAAATGCAAGAGGCAATGATAGATGTACCTCTCTCACATCAATGTTTTTAACTTTCTCTCCCTTCCTCTCTCCCTCTTTAAAAAAAAAAAAATCAATAAAACATATTTTTTAATCTTTTTAAAAATAGAAATTTATAGCACCTACCTCAGACATATTTAGAATATCATACCTATACTGTAGTCTTAACCCCTTACAACCATAATAGAAACACATTACAATGTAACACGTTTACATTATTTCAGGAAGCTCTTTGTTTTTAGACCATTTCTTTCCACTAAAATAAAATTATAATGGAATAAGACTGTTAAATACTCAAGTAACATGGAGTAGAACAGCTCTCTAATCCTGGTTATTGAAGAGAAAAATAAAAATCCACAGATAACTCAGTCAAAAATAAAAAACTGTAATTTCAAACATCAACAAAGTTTTTTTGGTTAGCAGACCTCTAGTCTCAAAACTCACTGATGGTCTGAGTAGGAATGTTTTGTTGTTGTAATCTCACCTAAGGATACTTCTCCACTGATTTTTAGCTAGAGTGGAGGTGGGGGGGGGCATCTACATGAGAGATACACATCAACTGGTTGCCTCCCGCACACCAACCAGGGCCAGGTTTCAAACCTGCAGGCCAGGTATATGCCCTTGACCAGGAATCAACCCTTGACCTCCAGTAAACAGGCAATGCTCTAACTGCTGAGCCAAACCAGCCAGAGCGGAAATTCTAAGTTCCACAAATTAACATGAGTCCAATAACTCTGTTATTTTTTTTCTATGTTTTTATATAGAGAGGAAGGGAGAGGGAGAGAGAAACACTGATAAGAAAGAACATCAGCCCTGGCCGGTTTGGCTCAGAGGTTAGAGCGTCGGCCTGCAGTTCAGAGAGATCCAGGTTCGGTTCCCGCTAAGGGCATGTACTTTGGTTGCATTTTTTTCCTGGCTCTGGTTGGGTCATGCGGGTGGCAGCCACTCGATGTATTCCTTTCACTCTATCTGAATAAAAAATGGAAAAGGGTGAGGATCAAAAAAAAAAAGAAAGAAAGAAAGAACGTCAACTGGCTGCCTTCTGCACACCCACACTGGGGATCGAGCACACAACCCAGGCATGTGCTCTGACCAGAAATACAACCAGTGACCTCTTAGTGCATGGGGCAATGTTCAATCCACTGAGCCACACTGGCCAGGTGATAATGCTATTTTTTAAATCTATTCTTTATTAGCTCCTATGGAATTCTAAGACTTCCTCCAAAAGAATAGAATTATAATTAAATAACCCTATCAGTGGTTAGAGCGTCGGCCTGCAGTCTGGAGAGACCCGGGTTCGGTTCCCGCTAAGGGCACGTACTTCGGTTGCAGTTTGTCCCCGGCCCTGGTTGGTCGTGCAGGTGGCAGCCACTCGATGTGTCCCTTCACGTCGATGTTTCTCTCTCTCTCTCCCTTCCTCTCTCCCCCTTCCACTCTATCTGTACAAAAAATGGAAAAATACCCTCGGGTGAGGATAAAAAATAATAATAATAATAAAAAAATAACCCTAAACCCTGGCCATTGTGGCTCAGTTGGTTGGAGAATCGTCCCATACACCAAAATGGTTGCAGGTTTGATTCCAGGTTGGGACACATACCCAGATTGCAGGTTCTATCCCCGGTTGGGGCACGTGCATGAGGTAACAAAGAGATGTTTCTCTCTCTCTAAAAAAAAAAGAAAGAAAAGAAAAAAACTCTTGCTGACCACTTATTTGGAATAAGATATGAATCAAAGTCATACTAGAAAAATAATGACAAAAAGCAGGATGGCAGTTCTTAGTAATGTTTTAATACTTGTTTTATATGTCTAAAATATTTGGTAATAAATATACATCTTTTTATTTTTATTTATTGATTTTAAAGAGAAACATCAACTTGTTTCAGTTATTTACGCATTGACTGGTTGATTCTTATACACACCCTGATTAGGGAATTGAACCTGCAACATTGACATATTGGGACGATGCCCTAAACAACTGAGCTACCTGGCCAGGGCAAGAAATGTAATTTACGATGATGATTATTATTGTTGTAAATCACTGGTCCTAAAAGCTTAGTGTATACGATATTTAGTAAATATTGATTAACTGACGTGCTAATGAGCACAACTTTTCTTTACTAAACTGGTTGGACTCAATCTTACATATCCTGCCACTGAATTCAACTATTGGGGTATAATTCTCCATAAGAAAATGAGTCATTTGGAAAAACAAACAAACTGAGAACAGAATCTGACCAGAGTTAAAGAATTTTCAAAATCCTTAATGGCCTATTGTCAGATGAATATTTCATAGTGCCCAGGCCGGTTTGGCTCAGTAGTTAGAAAGTCAGCCCACGGACCAAAGAGTTGCGGGTTCAATTCCTGCCAAGGTCATGTCCCTCGGTTTCGATTTGACCCTGGCCCTTGTCTGGGTCCTGCAGGAGGCGAGCAGTCAATTTGTCTCTCTCACATTGATGTTTCTCTCTCTCTCCCCTCCACCCTATCTAAAGATAAATAGAAAAAATATCCTCGGGTGAAGATTTAAAAAGAAAGAAAAAAAAGAATATTTCACAATGGTATGAATATTTTCAATTTGCAGGTGTAAATGTGTAATGTATATTTACCTAACTGTATGTGAAATATAAACAGTTCACTACCTACACAAACATTTGCTTAATTTTCTGGAAGATTAAAAAAACAACAACAGTATTATAAGGGTGAGGAAATTCATCCAAGGTCACACAACAAGGCAGAGCTGAGATCAACATTCTAGTTTAAAACAAACCTCCAGGAGAAATCTCACTGACAATTTCGCAAAAAAGACTTTCTGTTTGTTTTGCTTTATATCATATAAAAGGGGGTAAGGTGCTATCAGTTTGATTTAAAACTTTCACGTAAAGACAATGAGGTACATCTCGGATAAACAGGCACTGTGCGGGGAGCTGGTAAGAGCTAAGCAGTCAGCAGTCCGTCAACACCGGCCAAACCAGTTCCACCCTAGGGTAAAGCCTCAACTCAGCCAGTCTAGAAGCCTTCCTTCCTAGTCCATTATGAAGGAAACTTGGGGTCTCTTTGGAATGGTGAGAGGATGAAAATCAAAGGTAGAAACGACAGTGTACGCTGTATTGCCTCCAAGGGTAAAGGAGGTTTTTCTGGGGAAAAAAATCACCACCACCATGGGTGTTGAACAGTGAAGAAAGGATAAGAAGTCTAACACTGTGAGAAGAAACAACCAGGACCGGCAGAGCTGATCTATAATCATCCTAAACGAATCACAAGAAAACTTTTCCCTCGACCAAAAAGCTGTCTCCATTGCCCAGCCTGAGGCTAAAAATGGAGCCGGGTCGGCGTGAGGGGCCGGGCGGGGGCCGAGTCCCGGCGCCTCCCGCACACTCAGCCCGCTCCACGAGCGTTCGCGGGGACCTTGCGGGACAGGCCCGGGCTCAGTGAGAGGGGCCATGCAGCGCCCCGCGCTCAGGCCCGGCGCCCGCGCACACTGCCCCCGGGTCACACACTCACGGACACTAAGCGTCGTCGGAACCGCTGCGGGCGGTGGTTCGGCAGTGTCTGCACCTTCCCCCAGTGAAACCGCCTGGGAGCTGGAGCGGACCAGCTCCGCCCCCGGAACCCAGCGGCCCTCACCTTGCCCTGGCCCCTGCCCCAGAAGACAGGAAAGGAGAGACGGCGGCGGCGGCAGTTGTTTCCGACAGGGTCCTCCAGCGACGGCGGCTGCTTCGACCAGAGGCCCTAGTCCACGGCCGCCGCCATGTTGGAGAGTGAGGTCACCCACGACGTGCTTCCGTCATCGCCGGCGCCGCGGCGGCAGGGCCAGCGAACGCCGGAAAGGACGGCTCGGGTTTCGAGCGGAAGTACGGATTGGTGGAGATCCCTGATTGCTGCAGGAAGAGGCGTGGTGTACTGATGTGCGGGGAGGGAGGCTGGCGTTTCCTGCGTCAAGCATTGCTGCATCCACAGAGCGTGGTGTTTATCCACACACAAATGTTGAGTTTTAAGTGTGTTCAACAAGTGTGTTAGAGAAGAGCCAGGAGAGCTGCGAAGTTTCAGCCAGTTAGTTGTTGGGTTGAAGATGCACCTTGAAAGTTGGGAAGGATTTCTGGGGGCCGGGGATGGGATGGGGTGGGGTGGAGTGGAGGGAGACGGGTCATTCTATGTGGAGGGCCCTGCATGAGCAGAGGCACTGTGGAGATAGAAGGAATCCATTTTGTTCTCAGCACCTAGCCCCGACCTGGAATAGAATGTGTGTTAATGGATGCTTGAACTCACCTTCCTTTCCAGGACTCACTGAAGGCATGTGGTCAAGAGGGTGTAATATCTAAACCATGCTTTAGGTAAATCAAATTGCCTGTGGTGTACATAAGATAAATTGGAAGAAGGAAAGCTTTAAAGATGAGCTAGAAAGTTGTTGCCAGGAGCATAACCTGATGGGGAGGGATTGCTAATGGGTACCTGGTTGTTGTTTTTTTTGGGGGGGTGGGGCGCGGGTGATGGTTGCATAACTCTGAATATACTTGAAGATGTTTAAATAGGTGACTTGTGCCCGGCTGATGCGGCTCAGTGGTTGAGCGTGGACCCATACACCAAGAGGTCACCAGTTCAATTCCCAGTCAAGGGCATGTACCTGGGTCGCAGTTTCTATCCCAAGTCCCGGTCTGGGTCACATGGGAGGTAACCAACCGTGTCTCTCTCACATTGGTTTTTCTCTCTATTTCCCTTCCACTCTATCTAAAAATCAACGGAAAAGTATCCTTGGGTGAGGGTTAACAACAACAACAACAAAAAATGCTACAAGGGCCCAGCTGGTGTCACTCAGTGTTGAGCACTGACCCATGCACCAAGAGGTTGTCAGTTAAATTCCGGGTCCAGGCACATGCCCAGGTTGTGGGCCTGATCCCCAGTGTGGGGCATGCAAGAGGCAGCTAATCAATGTATCTCTCTCACATCGATGTTTATCTCCCTCTCCCTCTTTCTCTAAAATCAATAAAGATATATTTTTTTTCTTTTTTGGTATGTGCCCTAGTGGGAACCAAACCCAGGACTCTCTGGTCTGCAGGCTGACGCTACAACCGCTGAGCCAAACCGGCCGGGGTGATAAGTTATTTTTTTAAATGTTACAAATGATATTAGTGGGACATGGATTAGTGGGATTATGGACTTGTTAAATTTCCTGAATTTGAAACATACACTGATTTAGTCATGAATAATATGTATATGTACACACAGACATTGATGTTCCTTGACTTACCATGGAGTTACATCCTGATAAACCCATCGTAAATTGAACATGCATTTACTACATCTAACCTACCAAACATCATAGTTTAGCCGAGTCTACCTCAAATGTGCTCAGAACCCATTAGCCTACAGTTGGGGCAATTATCTTGAATTTCATCTCAAGAGTAATTGCCCTTCCTCTTCTTCTCACCTGAAGAAGGAGACGCAGACGAGCATTTTGTAGACATGATGGAATACAAAAAACAAAACACAACACAACACACTGACAACATAGTATACTGTAGAGTACTGATATCCCATTGATCTCATAACTGATCAGGAGCTGTGGCTCGCTTCCAGTAACCAGCATCATAAGAGAGTCTCATACCATGTATTGCATATTGCTAGCCCAGGAAAAGATCAAAATTCAAAGTACAGTTTCTACTAAAAGCACATTATTTTTGCATTATCAAATTAAAAAAAGCTTAACTCTAATTGTAAATCAAGGACTGTCTGTGTATGAAAGGTGATAAAGCAAATATAGCAAAATGTTAACAATTGGTGGATCTAGGTGAAGGGAATTCATTGTATTATTCTCACAACTTTATGTATTTGAAATTTCTTAAAAATTAAAAACTAGTATTAATAATGTGTAAATACCCTGGCTGGTGTGGCTCAGTTGGTTAGAGCGTGGTCCTGTACAATAGAAGGTGGTGGGTTCAATTCTCATTGTGGGCACAAACCCAGGTTGCAGGTTTACTCCCCAGTTGCGGTACATTGGGAGGCAATGGATCAATATTTCACTCTCTCTTCCCTCCTCTCTAAAATAAAAAAAACAGAACAAAACATCATATCCTCGATGAGGATTTAAAAAAAAGATGTGTGGCCGTGGCTGGTTTGGCTTAGTGTTAGAGTGTTGGCCTGTGGACCAATGAGTTGAGGGTTCGATTCTGGTCAAGGGCAGTACCTTGGTTGCAGTTCATCCCCAGCCCTGGTAGGGGTCGTGCAGGAGGCAACCAACTAGTTGAACTCTCTTTCTCCCTTTCTCTCCTCTCTCCCTCCCACTCTGTCTGAAGATAAATAGAAAAAAATATATCCTCAGGTGAGGATTTAAAAAAATAATAAATGTGTTAACCCTTTAACCCATACATCTACTACTAGGATTCTATCCTAAAAATAAAGTTTTCAAGTCTTTGCCTTTATAGTTGGGGTGGGGAGGGGGAAATTAGGGTTTGAAGCAAACAAGTCTGGAAGAATTTCTGCCCTGATTTTCCAAATATTTCCCTCTAAGTGGGTTCTGGGAATGATGTTGAAAGATGCATAGACCCATTCAGAAGAATCCCAAATAAATTATGTGGCTACTCCACTCTAAAGGAGGTGGAGCACGACTCCTCCCTCCTTAGTACTTCCTTCTAAAGAGTACTCCCCCCCCCCCCCGCGGGTAACTTTACATTGGAGAAACCTGACAAACACTCCATCAGCCAGGCCATCAAGGTCAACATCAAGAGTCAAAAATGATGTTGACATCATAAATCCTTGATATGATGTGATAAAAACGGCACTTTTACATCTGTGATCTTCCTACAAAAACCCATTAACTTCCACTCAATCTCGAGAAAATGTCCAGTAGAGGAGCATCCTACAATATTCCTACCTAATCATTACCCCTCAAAACTGCCAAGGTATGAAATACAAGGGAAGGTTCAGAAACTGTCGCAGCCGCCAGGAAACTCAGGGAACATAACTAAATGAAATGTAGCATCCTGGAACGGAAAAAGGGCATTGGGTTAAAACTAAGCAAATCCAAATAAATTGCTGACATTAGTTAATACACCAATATTGGTTAACTAACAGTAACAAATGTATTACATTAATATATGACGTCAGCAGCTGGGGAAACTGAAAAAAACCCTCATACTTTCGGTCAAAAAACAATAATAGAGGAAACTGTGAGGGGGCACAAAGGTATCTGATAACTCTCTGCTCTATACTTAATTTTTCTGTAAATCTAAAATTGTTCTTAAAATAAAATCTAATAAATATTATTGAGTTTGCTTTCATTAAGACCAAGAAAGTGAAATAGTATGCTATGGTTTTGTATAAATAAAGTACTTAAACTTTTTTTAAAAAACTGCAAGGGTTGTAAGACTGCGCGGAATCCCACACAGCCCTCTAACTTCAAGGCCAGAACTGCCGACACTAAGCCGGCTGCAGAGAGGAGCAGCACGCATCGCCGGCGGCCGATGCTAAAGACAGAGGCCCGAGCCGCGCGCGCATGCGCCTAGCCAGGGACCTGCTCTTTTCCCACTGGCTGGGAAGGCTCACGTGTGTTGGCTGCCGGTCACGTGACAGTAACCGGAACCTGGGTTATAAAGTTAAAGAAGGCGGAACCTGCGCTGGCTTTTTTTCCCAATTCCTTTCACCGTCTCCTTCAGGCCTGAGCTCGAGCTCGCCCACCGGGCTCACTTGCCGTCGTCATGGCCCTCAGCGATGCTGACGTGCAGAAACAGGTGAGGGGCTGGGGGCGGCCTCGCGAAGCCGCGGCGTCGGGCCTGGGTGGTCGGGCAGGAGCCCGGCAAGGGCGGCGCGGGCCTTGGTCGCCCGAGGTGCGGAGGCGGGTCCCTGCCCCAAGGCCGGGTCCTGTGGTCTGTCTCGGGGGGCGTCTTGCGCGGCGCTCCGTGAACGCGCCGGCTCTGGTTCTCCTCGGCTGACCCCGGGGGACCGCGGGACTTGCTGTGCTTGGGAGAGCTGAGCGCAGAAAACAAGCAGTGAAATGCAACGGGAATGCAAGGGCTGAAAACACCTTTTCACCCGGTGTTAACCCTGGTGGAAGGGTTCACAGTACGCGAAAGCAGAGAGCTGAGGGGAGAGCGCGGCTTCCATCGTGTTTTGAGGTCATTCCCTTCCATGAACTGTTGTTCATTTGGTCTTGAGGGAGTCCCCTCTGTCGTGATGAGTTGATGGTGTGGTTGGTCTCCCACTAGTCTGCACATTAATACTTGTCAAGTGTAGAACTCTTACGTTTATGAGTCCCGGCGCCTAACAGTGTTTTGGCAGAAAGTAGATGAGTCAACGTTTATGGGAAAAATTGTTATGTAAGTTGTGAATGTACATTAATTTTGCAAATGTATAACCAGTCCTAGGAAAATTTAGTGTTTGTTTTGTAAATTTAATTTTGTTTTTTCCATCACCATCTATCTCCTCTGTGCCCTCTTTCACCCTCCTACCCCCGAAACTTGAGTTTTTTAAAAATGAGCCATACCTTCAAGTTTGAAGGCAGAAAGGAATGTTACCATACAGAAGTCTCGCAGGAGAAGACTGTGGCGTTGGAAGGCCAATAACTAACATGAGAAAAAATGGTTTCCATTTGTCCTGCCAATACATACTCTGCAACCAGGGTCCTTGCCTTTAGGAATCATATTGCCAACAGGTTTTTAGAAAAGGAAGCTTAAGGCTGCAATTTAATCTCTGCATAATTTAGAGAACTAAGTCGTCTTCTTTTTGAAGTAGTAGGAAAATTCTCTGACTTAAAGCTCACTCACCGGTTTATGAATAGTCTTAGATGAGCAATACAATGTTTTTTCCCTGGATATTTCCATTTCCTTGAAAATACTTTTACATTTTCTTAACCTAATATGCACTAAGAAGAGTGGAGTGTTTCTTCTTCATTTCAGTGGTTCTTGTGCTAATCACAAAGTAAAAAAGGGTGACAAAAATGGTATCTATGGAGAATTTTAAGAAATCTTTTGATATCCTTACAGAACAATGGGCTTTTTGAACATTTATCACTGCTGCTTTAATTTTTACTGTAGGAAAAACGTGATACGGTGGAAAAGTACAGCGCCTTCCACATATTCTGGTAGTCTACTCACTAGTACTGATTCTCTTCTTACTGTTGTGCCTTCACCCCCCCCCCCCCTTGTAATAATATATTGAAGACTAAGGCTTTCCCAGGAAAAAATTAAAGATAAAGCAGTGCATTTCTTTGGAATCTAGGTCAAAACCATTTTTTTTCTGTAAAATTTAAAGAATGAAGAAATCTGCCTGTAGCCCTGCACACTACACATAAGCTCCAGTAGGGCAGTGTGTTTGCTCCCTGTACTTTCAACTGTGAAGAAGTCTAGTGCTGCTAAGCACATAGTAGTGCTTACATAAATCCTAGATACCCTGACTTTTTCCCCATTGTATAAAATACTTATATATAGCCTAGAATGGTGTGGTTCAGTTGGTTGGGTGTTGCCCTGTGTACCCAAAGGTTGCCGGTTTGATTCCCTGACAGGCCGATGTTTCAGGCTCAATCCCTAGTAGAAGGTGTGCAGGAGGCAGCCCATCAATGTTTTGCTCTCACAATGATGTTTCTCTCTCCCGCTCTCTCAAAATCAATAAAAAATCTTAAAAAGTAATTGTATATATTTGCGTTTTTTGTCTGGGGAGTATGGTAATTTATTTCATCAGATTTTCAAAGTAATCTATCTGACTCCAAAAAATTAAATTACTGGGTTAGCTGGAAGAAAAAAAGTATTTTTTGAAGGTCATATTTTTCTGCTTTAGGGGTGGAGTTAAATGTCCTTAAGGAGTTGACTGTTTCTCTTGGAACTCTTAAAGACAGAATATGATCATGTTGACTGTAAACAGGCTTCTCTGACTTGGGTTAAAATTAGTGCCGTTTTGCTATAGGCGGTCAAATCTGGTAGCAGATAGTCCAGCTTGAATGATAAAAACAGATAATACAGTTTTGAATCAGGGTTTACCCATAGAGGCCAAATGTGCCTTGTAGTATGTATAACATCTGATTTGATTACCATATTTAGTTAGACTACTTTTAAAGTTCCAGGGTGAGTTCACTGAGGCTTCAAACTGAACTGGGGGAGCTACCATTCTCACCACAACCACATGTACAGATTATAGGGGGATAATCTTTTTTGCAAGGTCACAGAGATTTTCTATACACTTAGGTCTGGATTAGGTACCCTGAATATTTCAAACCTTGAGGTTTTATAAGTATTTTGTTACTTTTTAAAAATTGATTTTAGAGAAACAAAGGAATGGAGAGAGAGAGACATCAGTTTGTTATTCCACTTACATATGCATTCATTGGATGATTCTTGTATGTACCCTCACCAGGGATTGAACATGCAACCTTGCATATCAGGACGATACTCTAACCAACTCAGCTACCTGGCCAGGGCCACACACTATGATATTTTGACCAGTTTGTGTTTGGGACTAAACATCAATTTAATCTAATGATTTTAATCTAATAGTTTCATTTCACATGAGAGGTAAACCCGCTAACTTGTCATAAATGCTATATTCTCAAATTGTTATGGTAAGACCAAAGTATTCATCAAGGTCAAAGAGAAGTAAATAAGATATATTTGACTAAGCATTTATTTCACTTTGTAAAGTTTGATTTTCTTTCTTTTTCTTTTTTTTTTAATCTTCACCCAAGGTTATTTTTCTGTTTATCTTCAGATAGAAGGAGAGGGAGGGAGGGAGAGAAACATTGATGTGAGAGCAACACATTGACTGGCTGCTTCCCACACGACCCCGACCAGGGCCAGGGACAGGGACAAAATGCAACTGAGGTACGTGCCCTTGACCTGAATCGAACCTGCGACTCATTGGTCCGCGGGCCAACACTCTAACCACTGAGCCAAACTGGTGAGGGCAAAGTTTGATTTTCAATGAAAATGTTCTTTAGAAATACTTAGCTATGGCCTGCAGTTTTCAGCAGTGTCCTTTTAATGTGAAATTTAATTTTTATGAAACTATACTTTAGCCCTGGCCGATTTGGCTTAGCGGTTAGAGCATCGGCCTGCGGTTCAGAGAGACCCAGGTTCAGTTCCCGCTAAGGGCATGTACCTTGGTTGCAGTTTATCCCCGGCCCTGGTTGGTTGTGCCGGTGGCGACCACTCGATGTGTCCCTTTCACATCGATGTTTCTCTCTCTCTCTGTTCCTCTCTCTCCCTCCCACTCTATCTGAACAAAGAATGGAAAAATGTCCTCGGGTGAGGATGATTTAAAAAAAAAAAAAAGAAACTATACTTTAATTCACTCATTTTCAACATTCCAGTTCAGAGAAAAATATCAGCATTTACAGGACTTTTGTTGCAGTTACATATTTTAAAATTAAAAATTACAAAGACTAGCCCTGGCCGGTTTGGCTCAGCAGTTGGAGCGTTGGCCTGCCAACCAGAGAATCACAGGTTTGGTTCCCGCTAGGGGCGTGTGCCCCAAAAAAAATTTAGGAAGACTTGATTTTATCCTAGAAAAATCAGTGCTTCTGAGTTGGTGCATCACAATATGGCACATTTTCTATAAGAAGGCCTTTCTGTCCTGGCCAGTTTGACTCAGTGGTTAGAGGGTCAGCCCGCAGACCAGAGAGTCCTGGGTTCAGTTCCCGCTAAGGGCACGAACCTCGGCTGCAGTTCATCCCTGGCCGCTGTTGGGGTTGTGTGGGAGTCAACCATTTGATGTGGCTCTATCATGTCGATGTTTCTCTCTCTCTCTCTCTCTCTCTCTCTCTCTCTCTCCCTCTCTCTCCCTCCCTCCCTTTCTCACTCCAGCTCTATCTGAAGATAAATGCAAAAATGTCCCCGAGTGAGGTTTAAAAATATATATATATATTTTTTAAAAAGTCTTTCCAAAGGACAATATCAGTGTATTGTGGTCTGTGTGAATACCTTGTATAACATGTTTTCTGTAACAATTCCACATGGAAACCTATGTAATTAGCTCTTCTATTTTCTTAAGAGAAGCTTCATTTTTATTACTTTTGAATTCTTCATTTATCTTTTTTTTTATATATATACTCACCTGAGGACATTTTTTTCATATTTTGTTCATATAGAGTGGGAGGGAGGGAGGGAGGGAGAGAAACATCGACGTGAAGGGGACACTTCGAGTGGTTGCCATCCACACAACCCAACCAGGGCCGGGGACAAACTGCAACCGAGGTATGTGCCCTTAGCGGGAACTGAACCCGAGTTTCTCTGGACCGCAGGCCGATGCTCTACTGCTGAGCCAAACCGGCCAGGGCGAATCTTTTTTTTTTTTTTAATCCTCACCCGAGGACATTTTTTCGTTTTTTGTTCAGATAGAGTGGGAGGGAGAGAGAGAGAGAGAAACATCGACATGAAAGGGACACATCGAGTGGCTGCCACCCGCACAACTCAACCAGGGCCGGGGACAAACTGCAACCGAGGTATGTCCCCTTAGCGGGAACCGAACCCAGGTCTCTCTGGACTGCAGGCCAACGCTCTAACCGCTGAGCTAAACAGGCCAGGGCCTAATTCTTTATTTATCTTTATTCTGGTTGCTTCTAATGATCTGGTGTTATTTTTAAAAACTTGTTGTCTGGCCCTGGCCGGTTTGGCTCAGCAGTTGAAGCGTCGGCCGGTGGACCAGAGAGTCCTGGGTTCGGTTTCCGCTAGGGGCACATGTTGTCTGGTCCTGTGCAGTGTTTTAAAAAGCTGTTAAAACCTTGGCCACCTCACCATGTCTCTCT